ATTAATTTTTGAAAACTCCATGAACATAGTTTAATTTATTAGCGTCTTTTGTCGTTTTGAAAGCGAACACGTACTAGAAGTAATCAATCTCAATTTTATTCCGTGTGATGGAAATTACCTACATACAACTATGCAAAGAAACAAAGAAGAAGGTACACTTAAAAGCTTAATATAGTATGCGAAATGCATAATTTTGCAATAATAATAATTAAATACATTGTAAAATCAAAGAATGAGCGATTCACGTGCATCCACATAGCCTTGACTATCAACTGATAGATTAAGACCATCCAAATTTAGATTTATCTTTTTTTTTTTTTTATACAGTTATGAATTATCGAGCATGCAAATATACATATTAAACTTTTATTTTATTTTTGCTTCTTCTCCACTACTTCATCTTAATTCCAAACAAGTTGCATAATTGCTTAGAAAATTAAATTATATGTAATCTAGTCTTATCTCCAACAACTATGTAACTCTAACATATATACAAGTACGAGCCAAAAATTGCCTTTTTGAAGCTAAGCAAAACACCAACTTTCTTAGTTTCTTTTTTTTTATTTTTTTTATTATCTTATCCATGTGACAACTTTCTACACCAAATTGCAAAGATCATTAGGAGTATTAATGATATTGACCATAATTTTTTGGAATAATTGCTTCAAACCCACTTAATTGTAACACAAAAAACCAAGAGATAAGATTAAACCTAACGATGATTATTAATCTTAAATCAAAGTTTAGTCATTGATCATCAAGGTTTAATTAGCAACCCTAGCCTCACACATTGAGGCGGACCTATGATTGTTGAATTGATAGGGGATTAATTAACTGATTGCAAATTACTAAAGGTCTCACTTTCTCTGTATTATCTTTAATAATTTGAAATAACCTTTAATTAACAATATAGTAGGGCAGCGCACGTGTCACTCACACTCTTTTCTAGATATCCGCCTATGACTAGCAAAATTGGCGTGCTACTGTCATATAACCCTCATGACCGGCCAATCATTTTCCCTACTTTACATTATTAGTTTGTTGATTTATAGTTTATTAGACTCAAACTAATACAGATTTGAGCCGGAATATACCCTCAAAGTCACCAATAATGATGAAAGCTCTTCGAACAGTAAACGTACTCTTGGGTTAAGTTGGAACGACCCTTTACCGACTGATCCAATCACTCGTTGATTAATTGGTTCCTACCTGATCGACTCTCCATAAAACAAAATTCTATCAAATTCTTCTGCAAAATCCAGCCAAGTGCCAACCACGCAAACCCTTTAAAAACCACAAAATAAAAATTTAATCACCTTAAAACTCTAAAATGGATTCATATTATTATTATCATATTACAATATAATGTTTATGATTGAGAATACATGGCCTCGAAATATTCAAATTACACATGGTTGTTCTTGAATTTCAGGGAAAATAAAGCATGCAATTGAATTATTAATCAAATTAATTACCAACAGAGAGTATACGCAGTATATTGCAAGCTCACCTGCCACACCTTATTGGAGCTTAAACTCTGACAAATTCTTATACTTGTTGCTCCAACTTGGCCATTTATTTTGACAATTTTATTATCCATCTTAACAACAATGTAACAATTATCTCCTAAGAAATAATCTCAGAAGATCTTCATTTAATATTTTGAGTGTGAAAACTTTATGATAATTATCAACTTCATTGACTTCTAGTTTAACTTGTGGAATACTACACTTTAAGGGATCGACGTGAACACTTTTTTGTCAGAATCAATTTGTAATAATACATGAATATTGTAATGCTTTTAAGAGAAATTAATAATAGAATTTAAAGAGAAATACATATAGATGTGATCTAGCTAAGTAAATAAGAATAATAGAGAGTTGGAAGGTAATGGAAGATGATTATACGCGTACATAGATAGCAGCATATGTAGTACCGTATCATATAAACAATTGAATAATTGAATGATATTGTCGTTATCAAAAAATGATGAACACGATAGTATAACTGCATGCATATATAGACTTATAGAGAGCGTATAATTCAAAATAAAGGATCATATAATTTAGAATAAAAGAATATATCTTGTAACCTATCTTACTTCAAGCCCCGTATTATTTTATCACTATTCTGTGCTACGTAATTTATTTTAAATAACATAACTATATGCTATTTTAGTGTGACATTATAATTAATCAAATGAATGAAGTATGAGATATTTTTTAGATTTAAATTGTATATAGTTATGTTCATATAACAATCTACATAATCGGAGGGGGGGGGGAGAAAAAGAGTTTTTAACGACGAACTATTTCGTCATTAAAAGCCCAAATATCGTCGTTAAACCTTTTAACGACGAAAAATTCGTCGTTTGTTCGATGTAATAGTCTCCCTTGTTATTAATTATAACGACAATGTTCGTTGTTAGATAGTGACGATGAATTATCAATCTGTCGTTAACCATTAACGATGACTAAAGAACTCATCGTTACTAAATATTCTATTAACAATGAATTATTAGGCAATGACGACCAAATAATCCCTCATAAAGTATAAATACAATGGTAAAAAATAATGGGAAATTCTCTTTGGTAACATCCAACTTTCTTTTTTTCTCTTTGGTAAAGGGCCAAAACTTTCATTATCATTGGTAACATTGTAGTTTTGATATTAAGTTACTTATAACATTAATGAGTAATTTAATTTATATTATATTTTTAACTATAGATAAAGGTTTTGGGTTTTAATAATTATAAAAATATTTATAAAAAAAAAAAACCCAAACCCTCTACCACCCACAAGTCACTCAGCCACCAGCCCTCTCCCTACCGGCACCAAGCACCCTCCACCCCCGGCCGACGCCGGCGACACCGAGCCTCCCCCACCCCACCCTCCCCTCATTCCCTAAACCCGACGCCCCACCTAGTCACTGCAGCAGCCCCACAATTCACACCTCCATCTCAATTTTTCTTCCACCGCACACCATCAATCGGCAGCCTCGCAAACAGCTGCACCTCACATCCACCTCACGCAAACACCTTCACCTGCTCCTCTCACCCTCAATTATCGACCGGTGGTTGGAGTGTGTGGCTGCCTCAAATTGCAATTTTTCACATCTCTGTGCGCGGCCGCGATGAACCTATGCTTGGAAGATGCGCGCCCGCGATGAGAATGAATCGAAATTGGGATTTCTTTGTAGAATTGTTGCCATGGTTCTTCAATTAGATGCGAAATTGGTGCAATTGGGGCTGCTGCGGTGGTGCGAAGGTGGAGTGGTGGTTGATTGGTGGTATGTTGCGGCGGTTTGGTGGTATTGTTGGCGATTGGTCAGGTGGTTGGCGTGTGCGAGGTTGAGATGGCAAGACTGCTTGCGATTTGTTGCGGGGAGCAGGGGAGTATCGTGGCTGTAGATGCGAGGTGAGGGAGGCGGTGTTTTGGGCGGATAATTGTGGCGAGGTGAAGCAGGGAAGGTGGAGATAGCTGTTGTGAATTGGATTGTTGCAGGTTGTAATTTTGTCACTTGGTTGCCGATTGATGATGTTTACGTCATGGAAGTGGCGAAGAGTAGCAGCACCCACTACTACATTTTTTATCTATTGCAACCCCTAAATCCGTTGCATTAGGCATCAAAATCCGTGGCATTAGGCCTAATGCAACGGCCATGTACTGTGGCATCTGCTGGCGTTGCAGTAGGCATCAAAATCCGTGGCATTAGGCCTAAGACAAACTCATTCATAAACAATACATCATCGCACAAGCCAACATTTCCTCTATATTATGCTCCTAAAGTATGTACCATTTAATGATCCAATTCATACAAACCAAACAAAACCCGTCACTTTAAGATCTATAAATCGGGAACCAAACCAAAATGATGCCTCCACTAATAAAATTTTTCCCCCCTAAGACACGATTTTTCACACAGCAACAAACAAATTCAAAGTTCACTTTTTAACCAAGAACATTCATATTATTTTTTCTTTTCTTCAGCACAATGGCATATACTGAGAATTTTAAATCCAAAATGTACTCACCAATAGCTAATTATAAAAACTATAAATCTGAAAACCTAACAACAGTATGATAGGCAAGCTTATTTAAGCCTAAACTATAATCAAATAATCGATTAAGCTAATTTACACAGAAATGTATATAAGATCAGACATTTTAAATATTCTAATTATCTAAATTGCAATTCATTTGTTCCAGTTGAGTAATCAATGTAGGTAAAGATCATTTTCGTCACAGTGTTCTTTAAACCAAGCTCGTTTTTCCAGTAAAAGTCCAATAACTTCATTTCCATTCTGATAAGGCAGGCAACTTATGGGACAAAAGCTCTCCGGTCTAAACATAGAGGAGCTGCAATCTCTAGAAAAGAAACTAGAAATGAGTCTTTAAGGGGTTCGTATGAAAAAGGCAAGAAACTCGTTACTTGAGAGTCTAAGTAGCTAGTTAACTTCAGTTTCAGTATGAAAATTAGTTGTCTTAATTTACTGAACAATGCATCCTATTGTACTTACAACAGGGTACAACTTACACGAACAACCAGCACCCTGAAACACCTAGAGAAAAATTACGACGTATAGTACGAGTGCAACCACTTTTATGCAACGTAAACAAACACAGACTCAATAATACTAAACAGAGGCATCAACAAAAAGTACAGAACATCAGAACCAACGTAACTCTATATGCATGTTGCATCCTCCATTTCTTCTCATACGACAGCCATGACAAGTTAAAATACCAACTAGGCATAAAAACAGGAGGTATAATATCTTTTTCCAACATTTGGACACAAGCTCATACATGACAGTATACTGAACTATGTAAGACTAAGTGTTCTGATGAGCTCATGAACTTACAGAAAAAAAAAACCATGAAATAGTCATCGATATGATATACTACTTGTTTAAGTAAGATTAGAAACCTCAACTAAAAAGCTGGCCCTAATATATACAGTACCTTTTGAGCATGCGGTTTACCAAGAGATTTTTTTTTGGCTCTACCTACCGTCCCAAAAGTTTGACAAGAATGCAAGATGTTCATATTAAGATGCCCAAATTCTTGGCATATTATTTTTATGACTTATTAGATTTACTTGACACTAGTTTGCATCCATGCACCTAAATTTACCTCTAATTTTCATCCCGCCCTAGCCTCATAGTTTTGCGGGGACCAATTCAACAAGTGTACTGAACCTTGCTGTATTTCTGAGCATGTTATTCTACATTTTCAATAGGCAAAGTAAGTTAGGCAGAAATGCTATAGTATGATACATCACTGTCCTAGTGAACAATTTCCATAAATCCGGTTGACACACCAAAGCATGAGACATTGATATCGCCCAAGTGTCGTTGCCTTAATTCACATTGAAGAGAAAAATTAAGAATCTACTACGACTACTATCAATATATCATTGACTCTTCATTATCCAAATCAAAGGGTGAAAAAAAGAGGAATAACAGAAAGCCGAGGAAATCGAGTTTGGTTTTCAAGCAATTACGACCCTCTATTTCATTTTTTGTTTGAAAGAGGGAAGTGTTCAAAAGGAGAGCAGTGGAAGATCGGTAATCATAAGAGAATATGCATGCTGTGAAATAAAACATTCACCAAAAAGAAAGCCACAGAACTAGTACAGCCTAAAGCCAAACATACACTAAACAACTAAAGTTAAAAAGGATACTACGAAAAAAACTACAAGGTATTAGCCAAAAAGCAGAACCTGTAGGTTCCAGCATACCAACTGCTCATGCACCTGCTTCTGAAGACTCAATAATGGGATGGTGGGCTGCAATTAGCTCACAAACAATTCAATGATCTCGTCAGCCAATACATTTAGATCAATTGAATAGTAAAGAATAAAAAAAATTGAGCAGAATCAGAAAAATTGAAAACACAAAAATTTAAACAAAACGCAAGGAAACCATAAATAAGATTAAAAAAATGTAGTACTACGGTAAGACTGTAGAACAGGAAGAGTATTAAGAAGATTGCTCACCTTAATCGTTCTCTTTCTCTCAATCAAACCAGCAAAAATGCAAAATTAATTTAACAAAATTGATGACATCAGAATTATTGAAGCAATTACTTACGAAAACCCTAATTAAACAAATAGTAGCTTAATTTTTGATAAATTATAGCATTTAACAACTAAATAGAGCCATTTTCAACAAATTATACTAGAATAAATTTAATTGTTTCAATATACATACCAGTAACTTGAGATTAATTGAGTGCAGCGAGAGAGGACTGGGTTTGAAGGTTAGAGATGTAGGATTCGGAGTCGAAAGGAGGGAGAAAGAGGTTGTTCTTGAACCATAAAGGGGTTAAATCGTAGATTGGGTCGCCGAAGAGGTCGGTATATGAGCGCGGTGGTGGTGCAGGCGGTGGTTGCGCCATTGTTGGTAGTTTTGAGGTCTGGGTTTTATATCAGATGCAACAACTACAACAAAAACGTAGTCCTTCTCATCTACTGTGAAAATATGAGATTTGAGAAGATGAGAAAATGGAGAAATTGGAAAAATGGTACTGTGAAAATGGTCCTCTATAATCAATTAAGGTGAGAATGGGGAAAATTGGAGAAAAGGGGGAAAATGGTACTGTACTTGAGAATTGTGAATAGAGGGAAGCAAATTAAAGACAAGTATTGTTCAAATATTTGGTGAAAAAAATAGAGGGAAGAAATGCGCGCTTCTAAATTTTTCATAATACAACACATACCGTTGTAATAGCTCTCATTTTTTTAAAAATAGCTAGGCTATTGCAACGGCTCTTTTAAACTCGTGGCAATAGCTCTACCTCTAAGAACATTAGTGTTAAATCCGTGGCAATAGCCTACTCTATTGCAACGGCAATTAAAATACCGTTGCATTAGCCTTTATTAGGCCGTTGCATTTGGTCAAAAATGTAGTAGTGACCGGTGGTTGGAGTGCGTGGCTAGTAGAGTTGGGTGGCTGCAGCTGCGAACTGAGGGTGCTTGGCGCCAGCAGGGGGGCTAGTGGCTGGGAGAGGGGTTGGGGTTTATTTTTTAAAAAAAGTAAATATTTTTGTTATTATTTAATTATTAAAAAATTAAAAAAAACTAACTATGGTTAAATTTTTTTTATTAAAATGGTGATTATATTTGGTAATCAAAACTACAATGCTACCAATGAAAATGAAAGTTTTGGCCCTTTACCAAAGAGACGAAAAAAAAATTGGGTGTTACCAAAGAGAATTTCCCAAAAATAATTTAATAAGGAAATTAATGACCAAATATTTTGTTGTTAATTTTAAATGTTTTATATAATAAGAAGCTCTTTACTAACAATTATTCTCTTAAAAAAATAATTTTCAAGACAACTACATTATATATTCAATAACATTAAAAAATTCATGATAAATAAAATTAAACAAAAATCATAATAAATTATGAATTAATAATTACATTCCAAGTGTAGTGTTAAAATCCAAAAAATACAATATTCAAAGGATAATAGAGCTAATAAATACAAGAAAAACCAACACGGTTTTTACTATATTTGAACGAGTGATATAAACGAAAATGGCTTTATCATACTACTAAATGGCACTTTATATACATTATATCATCAATGACCTCTCTTCTTAACAGAAAAATTATGGAATTTGATAAAAATATATAAAAGTAAGTCTTTTCCTTTTCTTGTACCATTGCATGCTCCACTTTCTTCCCTGGAACAAAAAATAAAGGATACCTCATGTTTTGTTACTCATTATTTGTATTATATTATATATATATATAATATTATATAATTGTAGAGCCTTACCTTCTCTACTTCATATAAGGAAATGATATCTACTAAAAACAAAACTCCTAAAAACATCAGTTATGTTTCTTCATTCATAAAATCTAAAATCAAAAATCAAGTAAAAATAATGACTAACCACTAACAACTATGTAGCAACCAAGGATCTGCAAGTTGCAAAGGGTTGTTTAATCATGTTTGCATGCAAAAGTTTAAACGAAAATTCTACAAAGTAAATATAATTCATTGTACTTGCATCATCTCTAAACCAGTTATGTTTTCATTTTATAGATTACCAAATATGAGAAAAGATCATGGTTTAATTTGGCCATACGACACTAAAAATTTACCTAGTAAAATTGAAATCGACACAAGTCCATAAAAAAAAAATCAGTGATTTTAACAAAGAGTATGATTTCTTCCTACTGTTCTTGACACTCAGCAAACTAAAGCACAAATTACCTTTTTATTCCTCAGATATAGACTGATCGAAAACGAAAAAATAAAAAAGATTGATCCAATGCCAAACATTGAAATTACAATTTACACATCCAAAAACAAAAAATAGGAATCATGACAATTGATAAATATCAAGCATAAATAATAATCCAAAATTTGTTAAAGACATCACTAGAATCCAGAAATAATGAACTATAATATTTTACAACTACTCTAATCAAACAAAGATATAAATTGAAACCTTATAAGAGCAATGCCAACAATGATCATTTTTTTCCTAATGAGGAAATTTGATCATTATGGACATCACAACAATGAGGAAATTGGTTTTTCCTCAATTGAAAATGAACAGTAGCAAGTGGGGCTCACCACCACTTGCTACTTATTTGATTTTTTTTTGCTTGCTTGCTATTTTTTTTTATTGTATTGCCTCTGTTAGCTATTGTTTGCAACATTTACCAAAAAAAGGTGCAAACTATTATTTGCAACATTTCCAAATCTTTCCATTTTTAGTAATTTTTTTTTAAATGAAATTATTAAAACACCCTTACTTAAAACTTTATAACATCAATTACATACTTAAAACATAATTGGTTAAAACCTAATCTAATCTAATAAAACTTATTTTATCTTTCAATAATCATCAATCCTTCATCTTCTCTTCATCTTCCCCATTATCTTTCTCTCTCCTCCTTCATCATCTTCTTCCTCTTCCCCCATAATCTATTTTCTCCATCTTCATCCTCTTCAACATTAACTCTCTCTCCTCCTTCAACCACTTTTCATGAATTGAAGAAAAAAGACACTCAATTTCAGATCTGGAGAAATGGTCTCGATTTCGTGGGTTTCGGATTTGGGTTTGTGGGTGGTGGGTTAGTGCGTCTGGTTTGGGTCTTGGTGCGAGGGTCTCGGTTTCTTGAGTTTGGGTTCGCAGGTCTAGGTGGGTCTGTGGGTTAGGTGGTTTCGGGTTCGAAAGGTGGGTGGTTTTGGGTGGCGTCAGTGGTGGTTTTGGGTTCGAAAGGTGGTGGTTCTGGGTGATTCTCACTACAAAAAAAATGTCCATATATATAGAAACAGAATTCTAGCGACGGAATTCAATCCGTTCTAAATTAGAGAAAAATCTGTCTCTAATTAATTTAGAAACAGAATTAAACTATCCGTTTCTAAATTAGAGACAGAATTAAAAAATCCGTCTCTAAATTAGAAACAGGATTGAAAATCCGTCTCTAAATTAGAAACAGATTTTCTTTTCCGTTGCTAAATTTAGAGACGGATTTTTTTTTTTTTTGTTTTTTTTTTTCCGATGCTGATATGAGCAACGGATTTTTAATTCCGTCTCTAAATTATTTTCGAAACGAATTATGTAAAATATTACTTTAGAGACGAATTATGTAAACTAAAATCCGTCTCTAAACTAGAGACGGATTTGAAAATCCGTTTCTAAACTAGAGACGGATTTTAAATTTTGTCTAATATTTCTTTCACTTATTATCAATTATGTGTGTAGAAGTAAACAAATAATATTTGGTATAGTTGGTAAGAGTTTCACTATGTGACTGTGAAGTCACGGGTTCGACTCCTACCTATTGTGATTCTTGAGATTGGGGATTCAAGGAGTCTTACATGCAAAGCCGAGTCGGGTTGACCTGAGTGAGGTCGAACCGAATAGCATCTACTTTTAAACACAAAATAATTTTTCCGTTGCTAAATTTAGAGACAATTTTTTTTTTCCGTTGCTAAACTTAGAGACGGATTTTTTTTCCCGTTGCTAAATTTAGAGACGGATTTTTTTTTCCGTTGCTGATATGAGCTACAGATTTTTTTTTCCGTTACTAAATTTAGAGACGAATTTTTTTTTTTCCGTTGCTAATACCAGCGACAGAAATAAAAATCTGTTGTTAAGTTCAGCAACAGAAAACAAATACAACATCGCTAGTCTCATTTAGCGACAATAGTTTTGCCAACGAAGTAATTCCGTTTCAAAATTTGTCGCTACCTATATTTAGCGACAGAAAAGTACAATCTAGCAACGGATTTGATTTGTTGCTAAATGTCTATATTTTTGTAGTGTCTGTGTTCGAAAGGTTTTTGGGTACGAAAGGTGGTGTTTTTGGGTTCGAAACGTAGTGGTTCTGGGTTAGAAAGGTGGTGGTTTTGAGTTCGAAAGGTGGGTGGTTTTGGGTGGCTTAGGTAGTAATTCTGGGTGGCGTTGGTGGTGGTTCTGGGTGGTTAAGTTTTATTAAGGTTAAATTAATATATTTTTTGTTTTTTTATTTGGGTTGGATTAGTACTAAGTACATGCCCTTATTTTTTTTTAATAAAGATGCTTAAGATCTTTTGACTAGGAGTTCGTGCTACCCCCTTTGTTGCAAATCATAGTTAACGGAGGAAGTATAAAAAATGTGAATATGGTGATTTGTAGGAGAGAGAAAATGTTGGTGGGTATTGAAAGAAAAAGAGATTGGTGAGGATTTTTTTTTTTTTAATCATCGGTGGGATAAAATTTTCTTACCAAATTTCCTCATAAGAAAAAATGGGGATTTTAGAGTGAGAAAGAGGGTAGAGAAAGAATGGGGAAATCATTTCCTCATTGTTGAGAGTGCTCTAACGAGTCCATATCAGTGCATAGCGCCTATGGATGAAGAAAGCAAATAGGAGGGTAGTAGAGTAATTTACCAAGCTTAAGAAATGCAAAAGTGTGGGGCTGACTTACCAAATACCGTTATAATCTAAAATGTAACGGGATGGCTTTTTTTTTAATATGAAAAGGTTATTTTTCATAAACTAATAGCAAAGCATTCTCTCTCCTCGTTTTCTCTTGTTCGCTCCTCCCTGTAGTTACTGTACTATGTTCCAATGAAGAGACTACGACGGTGGTTGCTGCCGGAGCTAGAAAAGAATTTTGGTGCGTGTGAATTGTGTACCGGCGGTCGTTGGTTCCTTTGATTGAAGGTATGGTCTCGAAATCGACTGTAACA